CCACGCCGCAATCCCTTCTTCTCCATTCTCCTCTCAGGATCCTGAGCACACATACACATGCGCCCTGCGTGAGTTTTAAGCCACCAGGTCCGGGAGGCGAACCGCAGTTGACTATGTGAGAGTCCAGTGACATAGCCATTACTCTAACTGCTGGTCCCATAAGAGGGGTTCTTGAGAGAGCTATTATAAAAGCATTCAGTCAAGATCTCTCTCTCTCTGCCATCCAGCAGCTGTGGTGCCCTCCCCGACAGGGACCCTCACTGCTCCTAGACTCCGCCCATGGTGGAGCCCCTCAGCCTCCTACTGGTGTCAGGATGGCACAGCTTGTGCCTAAGTAAGAAAACAGGCCTCACTGGAGATATCCAAGCAAAGATTGGACAGCTGCTTTCCCAGAACAGAAAGGAAACTCATGCATCAGAAAAAGTGACTAATGGGGACCAGCAGTTAGCGTAATGGCTATATTGCTGGACTCCCACGTAGTCAACCGCGGTTCGCGTCCTGGACCCGGTGGCTTAAAACTCACGCCGGGCGCGTGTGCGTGTGTGCCCAAGATCCCGAGAGGAGAATGGAGGAGAAGGGATTGTGGCATGACCATCCCTCCTGGGGGGTGATTTCTCACTTTCTGTCTCTCTGTCTGTCACTGTCTTTCTGGCAAGCGCACGCACCCTATAGCAAAAACCTCTAAAAAAAGAAAGAAAGAAAGAAAGAAAGAAAGAAAGAAAGAAAGAAAGAAAGAAAGAAAGAAAGAAAGAAGAAAGAAAGAAAGAAGAAAGGGACTAATGAACATGCCACAAGAATATGGCTGCACAGATACCAGAATCTGATCAGATAAAACTGTTTAGGGAATTTCTTGGAACCTACAATAAACTTACAGAAACATGCTTTTGGGACTGTGTTAAGGACTTTACAACAAGAGAAGTGAAACCTGAAGAGATTACCTGTTCAGAACATTTCTTACAGAAGTATCTGAAAATTACACAAAAAATAGCCATGAGATTTCAAGAAAATCAAGGTCAGCAGGAGCCATGAGATTTCAGGAATATCAAGGTCAGCAGGATGAAGCCCTGGCAGCCAAAGCAGGACTCCTTAGCCAGCCACGCTAGAGAGGCCTGTACGGATGGACTACAGTGACTGTGTGCCGCCAGCCACTGCACAGGAAGTGAGGATCCATCTGATAGAAACCCTGAAAGCAGCAGTCACCATGTTAAACTGTCGGTCACAACTGTTTGGCAAATGGAAACCACTGGAGAAACAAAATCATATACTGAGGATTATCAAATTAGAAGATCTTATTGTTAAGTGAAAGTAATACAATGAAACTTTTGTTGAAGCCTTAGGATTCCCTTAATTAGAAAAACAAACCATTGTGGTCCAGCAGTTAGTGTAATGGCTATGTCGCTGGACTCCCATGTAGTCGACCACGGTTCGCGTCCCGGACCTGGTGGCTTAAAACTCATGCCGGGCGCGTGTGCGTGCGTGCCCAAGATCCCGAGAGGAGAATGGAGGAGAAGGGAATGCGGCATGGACATCCCCCCGTGATTTCTCACTTTCTATCTCTCTGTCTCTCTGTCTTTCTGGTGAGTGCAAGCACCCTATTGCAAAAACCTCTCCAAAAAATAAAAAAAAGAAACCATTGTTTCTTCAATCGTGACTGTTAATTTTAAAGCAAAATATGTGTTCTATCATGTATGAGATAGGAAAAAAATGTATTACTGAAAGTGAAATAAATGGAAATATCACTGAACAATTGTTTATATTATATAGTACCATAATATTCTGACTAGACTGTGAATACATTGAAATGTTTTCAGTCGGCATCATCCTCCAAGTATTCCTGTTCATTCATGTCTGCCTCAAATTGCTGGTAAATACATAAAATAGTTATTTGCTTAAAAAAAATCTCTCTCTCTCTCTCTCTCTCTCTCTCTCTCTCTCTCTCTCTCTCTCTCTCTCTCTGCCTGAATCCTTCAGTCATACTGTAGGACTCCAGCTATGAAGGATTCTTATCTAATTTACAAACTTGAATCTAACTAATCTTCTAGATTCGACTACCAATTTACAGGAAAAAAACAAGGGGGTGGGGGGACAGGAAAATGACACCATAATGATACCATCTATGAAAAAAAATGTTATCTAGTTTCAACAAATAAATAGAAAGAAAAAGCACATGTGGAAAAAATCCACAAATTTCAAGACTTAGGCACATATTAATCAAATGCAAGGTGTGAATTTTGTTCAGATCCTAACTTGACTAAAAAATGTAAAAACATTTGACACAACTGTGATTATTTAAACAGTGGATACTTGGACTGGCCTCCCACATGGCCAACAATGGTAAGAGTTCTGGACCTGACAGCTCACTTTCTCACTTTCTCTCACTTTGTGTCCCTCTCACAATCTGTCCCTGTCTAGTCAAATTAAAATAAATAAATAAATGTTAAATAAAAGAATTCTTTAACAAATAAACAGTGGCTATTTGATATCAAGGAATTATCACTAACATTTTAGATAAATTCATAATTTTGTAGTTAAATATTTAAAAGAACTTTCTCCCATTATACCTTTTTTTTTTGAGAGACTTTTGCTATAGGGCGCGTGTGCTCGCCAGTTAGACAGAGAGAGACAGAGAGACAGAAAGCGAGAAATCACCCCCCAGGGGGGATGGCCACACCACATCCTCCATTCTCCTCTTGGGATCTTGGGCACACATGCACACCCGCCCGGTGTGAGTTTAAGTCACCGGGTCCGGGATTTGAACCACTGTCAACTATGTGGGAGTCCAGCGACATAGCCATTATGCTAACTGCTGGTCCCATCATTATATCTTTTTTTAATTTAAATTTATTTATTTACATTCATTCACTATACACCATTGCAGCATAGAAAATGAGATTTTCCATTCAGAATACACTGTATATTGGCTCAATCAAGCACATCGACACACATGTTATCATCAGCAAATCATTTTCCATTTCTTGTTTCCTGTATATTTTGCTTTTTTCCCATCCTTGTTTCCCTATCTCTCACCCTCTGCCATCTTTCACCCTCCTCCCACACTGTCTCTGTTATCCATGGCTTCTTTCTATGCCTTTCTCCTCCACCCCACATTTTATTGATTCACTAAAGATCTTAATTAATCTAAATATTTCCAATAGCAAGCACAGCTGATATATATATTATCCATGAACACAAGTTTGACTTTAGGCATAAACTTCAGTGAGTAGAATGAACATACTATAAAGCAGCACCTAGCTGGGGCTATATAGCTTACTGCAGTCATCAAATAGGTATTTTTAATGCTTTTTTTTTAATTTCAAGAAAGACAGTTTTTGTGGTTTTTTTCTAAACATTTTTAAAGTTAATTAATTTACACACATCCCCTAAGCATCCTCACATCATACAAAATGTGATTTCCCATTCAGAATATACTGCATAGTGGCTTAATCATGCATGTTATCATCAATAATTTTCCATTTCTAGTTATATATATTTTTTAACCCCTATTTCTGACCCTCTGCCCTTTCCCACCCTCTTTGTATACTAGCTCTGGTGTCTACAGTTGTCTTCCATTCCTTTCTCCACACATTTTATTTATCATACAATTTCTTTTTTAAAAAAATAATTATTTATTTTAATTTGACCAGAGAGGTATAGAATTAGAGAGACACTGAGAGAGATGGAAAGTGAGAAAGCAAGCCACCAGGCCCAGGACTTGAACCATGGTCAGCCATATGGAAGTCCAGTGCCTTTAGCCACCATGCCACCTGCCAGCCCCTTATCACACAATTTCTTAAATAATCTACTTTCAATAGCAAGTTCAGCTGGTAATTTCAAGAAAATCAGTTTTGAAATGCTAAGGAACTTTGCTTAAAACTTAAAACTAGGAAGCAGGTTAGTATTCTGTTCAAATAGTAGGTACATGAACCTATGAACAGTCCAAGACGGACAAAAACCCTTAAAGCCAGACAACAAAACCTAGAAGAAAATAAGCAATATTTTAGTCAAAAGTCATAAAACGCTATTTCACTAGTTCAGTCTTATGTACTTTTTTTTTTTTTTCAGTCTTACGTACTTTATCTTCTGTTGTGGTTCAATCTTCCCGATTGAATTCTGGAATATAATATTCAGTTCAAGACTTGTCCCTATGATCAAGTTGGCCATTTTCTTAGTTTCTGAACTCATATTTCTGTGTGTCTATATTTAATTTTCATGACATAGAACTCCCTTGAGAACTCCTTGGAGATCTGATCTGATCTGTTTATCTGAGAATGTTCATGCCTTTTCTTCCCATATAAAGGATAATCTTGCTGGGTACAGTATTCTTGGTTGAAATTGCTTTTCCCTTAACACTTTGAATATATTTTCCCATTCTTCCCTTGCTCGCATTGTTTGCGATGAGAGGTCTGCTGTTAGTCTGATGGGATATCCTATCCTTTGTAGGTAACTTGACGTTTCTCTCTTGCCAATCTTAGTATCTTGTCTTTGTCTATAGTTTTGGTCAATCTGGCTATAATGTGTCTTGGAGAAGATCTTCTTGGGTTGATTCTGTTTGGGGTCCTTTGTATTTCTTGGGGCTGGATCACTGAGTGTCTCTCTAGCTTGGAAAGTTTTTGTGTAAGATTTCATGGAATAGATTATCAATGCCCTTATGAGTCTCTTCACCTTCTGGGATACCAACTATCCAGATGTTGGGATGTTTGATGGTATCTAATATTTCTCATATATTATTTTCATTTTGGGGAGCAATTTTCTCAGTCTTCGTGGTGGATTTTTCTAGGCCAGCAATTTTCTTTTCTATGTCTGAGATTCTATTTTCTGTATGCTCTAGTCTGCTTTTAATACTTTTTTTTTTTGAGAGATTTTCACTGTAGGGCGTGTGCGCTCGCCAGACAGAGAGAGACATAGAGACGGAAAGCGAGAAATCACCCCCCAGGGGGGATGGTCACACCGCAATCCCTTCTCCTCCATTCCTCTCGGGATCTTGGGCACGCACGCACATGCGCCCGGCGTGAGTTTTAAGCCACCGCGTCCAGGACACGAACTGTGGTTGACTACGTGGGAGTCCAGCGACATAGCCATTATGCTAACTGCAGGTTCCCTGCTTTTAATACTTCTGAGGGAGATTTTGACTTCCTGTATTATAGCCTTCATCTCTAACAGGTCCATTTGATTCTTTTTTAAAGTGTGTAATTCCTCTTTTAGATCTTGCAAGAAT